TTTTTCTCGATTCTTAGGGGTCAGCAATCATGCTGTTAAAGAACAAACTTGAGACTTCTGGCCAAGATGGAGGTGTAGGTAGACACACTTTGCTTCCTTGCACAACCAAAAGAAGGACAACAACAAATTTAAAAACAAAAAATAACCAGAACTGCCAGAAAATAGAACTGTATGGAAGTCCAACAACCATGGAGCTAAAGAAGACACATTCATCCAGACCAGTAGGAGGAACAAAGATGGGCAGCCAGGATGGAGAGGCCATGTGGCAAGGTGGCGGCAGACAGACCGGGCGGTCCCACATTTATGTGCGGATAAACTGTGAGGAACAGCTGGGGAGCGAGACAGATCTCACAGTCCAGGGTTCCAGTGCAGGAAAAGAAAGCCTCAAAACCTCTGGAGGTAAACACCTGCGGGGGTTGTGGTGGCAGGAGAAGCTCCCAGCTTCACAGGACAGTCCACTGGGGAGACCCATGGGGTCCTAGAACATACACAAACCCACCCACCTGAGAATCAGCACTAGAAGGGCCCAACTTGCCTGTGGGAAGCAGGGGAAGTGACTGAAAGCCAGTTGAGAGCTGAGCAAGCGGCACTGTTCGCTCTTGGACCGCACCCCAACAGACAGCACCACAACTCAGTGACCTGGTTGTCCCCTCCCCCAGCAAATACCTAAGGTTCCGCCCCTCCCAACATAACAGGCGTGCTGACACAAAGAAATATAGCCCAAATGAAAGAACAGATCAAAGCTCCAAAAATAGAACTAAGAGGTGAAGAGATAGCCAACCTATCAAATACACAGTTGAAAACACTGGTAATCTGGATGCTCACAGAATTGGTTGAGTATGGTCACAAAATGGAGGAAAAAGTGAAGGCTATGCAAAGTGAAATAAAGAAAAATATACAGGGAACCAATGGTAAAGGGAAGGAAACCTGGATTCAAATCAACGATTTGGAGCACAAGGAAGACATAAACATTCAACCAGACCAGAATGAAGAAGAATTTGAAAAAATGAGGAGAGGCTTAGGAACCTCTGGGATAACTTTGAAAGTTCCAACATCCAAATCATAGGGGGGCCAGAAGAAGAGGAAGAGCAAGAAATTGAAAACTTATTTGAAAAAATAATGAAGAACTCTCCCAATGTGGCGAAGAAAATAGACTTCCAGGAGATCCAGGAAGCTCATAGAGTCCCAAACGAGTTGGACCCAAGGAAGCACACACCAAGGCACATCGTAATTAAATTTCCCAAGATTAAAGATAAGGAGAGAACCTTAAAAGCAGCAACGAAAAGGAGAAAATTACCCACAAAGGAATTCCCATAAGACTATCAGCTGATTTCTGAAAAGAAACCTTGCAGGCAAGAAGGGGCTGGAAAGTTTTCAAAATCATGAAAGCCAAGGACCTACATCCAAGATAACTCTATCCAGCAAAGTTCTCATTTAGAATGGAAGGGCAGATATAAGTGCTTCCCAGGTAAGATAAAGTTAAAGGAGTTCACCATCACCAAGCCCTTATTATATGAAAAGTTCAAGGGACTTATCTAAGAAAAAGAAGATCAGAAACTATGAAGAGTACAACAGAGGGGAGGGGGAAGAATGGGGAAAAAAGGTACAGGGAATAAGCAGCATAAATAGTAGGTACAAAATAGGCAGGGGGAGGTTAAGAATAGTATAGGAAATGGAGAAGCGAAAGAACTTGTATGTAGAACCCATGGACATGAACTAAGTGAGGGGGGGGAATGCTGAGGGGGTGGGGCAGTGCAGGGTGGAGGGGACTAAAGGGGAGAAAAAAATGGGACAACTGTAATAGCATAATCAATAAAATATATATTTAAAAAAGAACAAAGTTGGAAGATCTAATTGGCTTTATTAAGCAACTCATGAATTGGACAGCAACCCATATGTCAACTAAAGGGCTCTCAGATGAGCTGTACAAAACAGAAGGTTTTTTATAGGTAGGAGGGTGGGGCTAAGAAGTTTAAAAAGTGGATTGTTTCTTGGCTAGAACATCTTCCCTTAGGGGAAGGCAGGGGGTCTTATCAGGCATATTACTTAACTACTGAGGAGGGAATTACAATCTGGGAGAGGTTGAAACTGCAATTAGGTAAATTCTTAACTTTTGCTTTGGTGATGTGGCTTAGCAAAAGTGACTCCATTTTGGCCTATTCTTCCTTTTTTAAAAACAATGCTGAGCGCTCTAAAGTCCTGGAGGGGAAAAACCCCAGGATTGTACATCTTCTGAGTGTAAAAATTTCTTCAATGCAAAGGCAAAGGTTTATCTCCCACTGGAAATAAGAGACATTAGTATAAAACCAAAGCTGTAGTTGGATGTAATAGGGTACATTTGTAGTATCAGTTGTCCAGCATTTTACCTAACAATTTATTGAATCAAAAGTTATACTTTAATGGGAGGGGGAGGGAGTGAGGGAGGAGGAGGAGAGAAACAACTTTATATTTTTACTATTTTCACTACTGATTTATCAAATGATCTTTAGAAAGTACATTTCTCAAACATAATGAAAATGTTTACAATGTCCTCGAAGTCCCTCCATGATATTACATGACCCCTATAACATTCATATACTCACATGACTCCAAATAGAATGAATATTGTAAAGATGTGTATTTGCTTGACCTAAACCTACCAAACTTTGAGACTATAGATGTGATCCATTTCCCTGGTGATTTTTTAAATGATGATCCTAAGGTTTTATCAGCCTAATGAAGCCATGATTTCTGATAAGTTCAGGTCCTCAGAATTCTCTTTGGTCCCTGGTATCAACATTAATCATGAATCTGTGCTTCTAAATATTCAATTACTCCTTCTCCTCCCTCCCCCCAACATCTGTTTTGTTTAATGAGTTAAGATTTTTTTCTTTTTCTTTCATTCTCACCAAGGACATGAACATTGATTTTAGAGAGAGGGGAGGGGAGGGAGAGCAAGGAAGAGAGACATCTACATTAGAGAGAAACATGGATTGGTTGCTTCTTGTATGCACCCCAACTGGGGACCAAACCTGCAACCTACGTATGTGCCCTGACCAGAATCAAACCCATGACCTTTTGGTTTATGGGATGATGCGCCAACCAAATAAACCACACTGGTAAGGGCATGAATAAGATTTTTTTTAAATATAAAAAGCACATATGTAAGATTTTCTAAAACCCATATGCCAAAATAAAAAAAAATTACCACAATGACAGTAGTTAGCAGTTTTCATAATTTAATGAAAAAGTATTGGTAAAAAGGTGACATTTGAAAAAAGACTGAGTTTATCTTGGAAAATTGGAATATATAAGACAAAATGAAAAAAATTAACAAAGAAGGTTAAGAGGTAATACTTCAAACAACAGCAAAATGTAGCAAATACATTTTGGGGCAATTGAAATTTATACAACTGAAGGCTCCTTCATTTGCCTAGGAAAATCCTGTAAAAATATTACAACTATATTTCCCTGACTGAAATTATTTTAGTCAATACTCTCCCAATGGCATTACATACAGAATTTTGGCTGAAGCACTTTTTCAGTATTTGCTTTTCTTCCCACTCACTCATAATTGAAAGGCATGACGGATCATGGGCTGCTGTACTGGCCTGTAACACAGCTCCATTATCATTTCACTGTCCTAAAAGTGTCACGTTAATTATCTACTCCAGATGAACTTAAAAAAAAAAGCACAGAAACCTAGTGCATAAATAGGAGAAATTCTATTTCTCCTTTGGATAATTCGTAGCTTTTTCCATTCAAACAAAATACAGGATACCTCCCACATGCTAGAGCATGTTCATACCAGTATGTAGGCATAAAGGAAACATGTTGAAGGTGTGGCCAAAAGATAGGCAAAATACAGAAGTTTTCAGAACAGGAGGCAAAAACAAAAGCAAAGAAATCCATTAACAAGGCTACAGGAACAAAAGTGGGGAGAGGAAACTGCTGAGTTTCCCATATAAAGGGGCCCTTGCCTTTACTGACTGGCATCTACTGCAGCTGGGCTGTTTTACCAGTAAGCAACTTTAAGACTCTAAAACGGCCTCTTTTGTCTGAAAATTCCCACTATACTTTCCCAAACTAGAAAAAAGAGAATATTAACTTAAGGCTAAGAAGAAGAGAGAGCAGAGAATTATAGTTGGTTTCACATTATAAAAACTAATGTTTTTCCTTTCTTTAAATGGGAAGCAGACATGTTTATCCCACCTCCAAATATAATCATTCTCTTCCTCCCAGGAATTAATCAAGGCTGATAGTTTGGGAACAGTGTATAAGCAACTTCTGAAAAACTGCTCCAGCCTTTTTGTTTGGAAAATTGCTTCAGAGTCAAAGTTGGTACAAAGCTAAATTATATCCATGTGTTAAACACATGCTTTCAAATTCTGTTTGACAATAAAAATCTGTTTCAAAATTAAAGCAGGTAAGAATACTTAACCTCTGTGCATTTTATTATATTTTAATTATACCTCAATAAAATTTTTATAAACATTAAAGCAGGTATACAAAAACTGTCAGCCAAACTTATTTAAGTCAAACTTATTTGAAAACAATAACACAAAAACCCTGACCTGGTACAAATCGCCCAGAAATGGTCTTACTTTGGGAAAGGCTCTGGGATCCTTCACAAATGCCCACAACTGAGAGAAATCAGAGCATTTTCCTTGGAAGTAGTACTTTTGTAAACACTATCCACAAGTTAGCCTTTTATGCTTGTTAGCTGGGTGAAATAGTTACAAGTGCGTCCCCAACAAGCAAGTCTAGGAACAGGCACTGGACACTTAGAAGCATTAGTAGTATTGAACTGGTAAATTAAGATCCTCTGAAAGGAACTCAACCTTGTGCAGAGCAAAGAGGGTAGTGAGTTTGACAGTATCTGAGATCTTGGTCCCTGGTCTTTCCCTGAGGAGGGTTTCCAGATACCAGTGGAGTTAGAAACTTCCTACAGACAGGAGCTCTAGGAGTCACATGCTGTAGCTTCAAAAGATAAGTAGTTTTAGTGTCTGATAATCATGGTCTCTTGCAAATCCATAATAATGCAAAGATTATTAATATATATGCACATCATTGTGTTAACTGGAAAGCTGCCCTGAAAGTATTTACTGAACAAACACTCTGGGCCCAGCTGTTCTCAATAGTCTCTGGCAACAAAAACAAAAACAAAACTTTTGGACAATCTACAATTCTTGTAATGTGCTTGTGAAAACTAGACTTGAAACTAGTTCAGAAACTGCAAGCCAATTTACTGTGGAAACATTTTATTCTTTTCACCAAAATTCCTCCCCAACATATGCCAGGATCCTTTTGGTGTATGGCGTTTTCCACAATATATGAGGCAAAGGGAAATACTGAGTTATTCTTGGAAGTTGTTAATCACCTTTGCATTGAACTGTGGGAGAGGGAATATGTCTTGCTTTTACCATGGCAATCCCGTCTAGAGTCATGAGGAGGATTTTCCCTATCTGAGCACTCTCTCCTTACCCTGACTTTCTCTTTACTCCCCTCGCTTTCTGCTTCTGAATCACTCAGCTCCAAATCTGGGCAATACCCATCGTTTTCCTGATATGGAGCTTTCCCTGCAGAACGTCTGACAAGCTGCTTGCCCCAGAGCTGCTCCCTGGGGTTAACATTCTTGGTTTGCTTCCCACAGCACTGTAGGCCCTCTGTGGTCCTGCCCCACCTATTGGTGGACTCCTTAAAGGACCTGCTGAAGTGTACCACAGTAGGTTTTCTGAAGCTGCCCTGGCTGGCCAAGTGGGAACTGAGCATGGACTCCTGGCCACATATCTCACTTGAGCTGTCTATTGGGTTGATATCCCCAGACCAGCTGCCCTCCAGGCCATTGGATTTGGCAAACCTGGAGTTAGGCTGACTTTTCCCATTCCCAATTAAGGACTGTCCATGAACTGCAGCCTGAAGGACTGGAGGTTTTCCCAGTGACTGCCCTTGATAAAACTCTGGAGATGGTGTTGACCGAGCAGGACTGGGATCCTTTGGTTCACTCCTAGAAAGGCTCAGACCGGCCAGCAAACGGTTATTCTTGCTCTCTAATGGATGCCTTGGATATGATTTCATTCTCATTTCTAATGATTCCTGAGGCACTTGCATGCTTCCTGTATTGGGAACAGGGGAGTTGTTGTCAGGAGAAAAGGGTCCATGGTCAGACTCTGTGGAGCTGTTTCGGCAGTCTTCCAAGGCTAATCTGGGCATTTTTAACTTTAAGGTAATTCTTGGTGGTGGTTGAGATGAGTTATCTGGTCCACTTGACAAAGGAGGTTCTGATGTCAAAAAGAAAGATTCATTTTAACAACTGATTTAAATAACAGCATACGTGCTTATGGCAGAGTGAGTTCATATACCCACTCTTTAAAATGTTTAACAAGAACCTATCTTTGATATGTATGTACATCATGGTATATAGCAACTGGAGTAAGCTAAATTAGTGTCTGTTGTGTGGCTCCCAATTTTTTCACCTCTGTCCTCCCACAGTCTGTAAAATGATCAGAAAGACTAGTGTACTGCCTCTTACATCCCCATTTCTGAAAAGAATATCACTAGTAATGACACATAGACAGGGTCTCCCTATTTGTGTCTGTATGTGTGTGGGTATGCACAGCACTTACGATGTGCCTTAAATGTAGACATTTCAGAACCCACCCTCCAATCTCTCCTGGCTCTCCTGAGGCAAATCAATACAAACCCTCAGGAACATAGCACAGGCTTTGGTGAGTGAAGAGTGTGTAAGTATACGTTTTAGCCAGGCATTAAGATAAGTGGTAGTGGGTGGTTCCTGTGTATTATTATGTCCTTAACCTAAAAAGATTTCCTCACCATGAATGACCATCACAGAGGTATGAGGCCAGTTTTGCAGTGGCAAAGCTGGCAGAAAAGAATCATGCAATTCCTGCCAATGGCCTGCAATAAGCTTAGCCTGGGGCGTACTGGCAATCAGTTACCTGGTTATGTCACTCTACAGTAATATTTAGAACAGGTATTCCTCTTTCTATGATTTTGAGTACTCTGAAATTAAACGGGCACTACCAAACAACTTCTCCTTGCATATGGACTTGACCTTTGCCTATTACCATCTTAACGTAGCCTCACAAAAATGACATATAGAAAGGGCAGCTATTAGGTGCCTCAATGGGCAGAATTTGTTCCCTAAGGGTTCATGTTGAACACTCACAGCCCCCTTCTCTTCCAGAGGCTGCCACATGCTGATGCCCCATGCAGTTATGGGGCTGACTCCCACCAATCAGAAGCCATGTGGCCTAGAGGCCAACAGCATTCAGGGGCTCCTCCCTGCCGTCTTTTAGTTCTTGTCATGTCTGTCACGGAACTTTGGTAGCTAAGCAGCCCTGCTGGCTCCTGCTACACCATTCTGCTGTGACCCATAATACTAAAAATACCCCACAGCCTTTGGTGCCTACCTGACACCTCATTTCTGGGTCTCTCTCTTGCTCTATGGATGGCCCCTGGTAGGAGCTGGGTTTGGGACACCTGGCTCAGTGACCCCTGGTTGCCTAAGTTCTGCCACCAACTTCTGTGTTAAATGAGGCACAGGGAGGTTACAAATGTTACTGAACATGACTCATCATTCTATCCAAGCTCCTCATGTTTAGGGCGCTGTAATTATGCTCACCTCTCTCTCACTAATGGGCAGCAATCCTGGAGGCAGGGATTTTGTCTCGCTGATTACCTTCTAGCTCAGTTCTTAGTCTATAGTAGATGCTCAACAAATACACAGTGGTCAAAAGTAGGTTAATGATGATGATGATGATAATAATAATAATAATAATACATTAATGAATAATAGAAGAATAAACTCTTTTGCATACTTACAACTGTAAACCTACTTTTGCCCACCTCTGTATTAGTGAATGAGTGAAGGAGCTAAGAACCCAGATCTCCCAATCTCTGGCTAAGGATTTGTTTTAACAAAAACTACTGTTATGATGACTAACCCTGGAATGCAATGTTTTCTGGAAACTAAGATTAGATACTGTCCTCTTGATTTCTAAATGAATCTGATGATTATTGAATAATTTCATGGCTCTAACTAATGACCCATAATATGCCTGGGACCTAGATTACCTGCCCTAGACCTGCAACCCCCCCAACCCCACCTTGAGATTTCCCCCACCTGTGTCATGAGTCAATGGTTAAATGGGCCATGTTGTATCAGGGTTGGACTAGAGCAAATGAGATACTGGACAAGAATTTTAAAAGATTTTTTAAGTGAAGCAATTGACATAAAATTTAAATAGTTAAAACAGGACGTAACCAGAATCTATATATTTTCTAGAATACCTTCAGCCATTTCCTGGTTAAGAAGCTTGACTTGCAAAGCAAAGATCTGTTCCTGTAGTTTGTTCTGGGACAGCTTCAGCTTCTCTCGCCTGCTTATCATGTAGCACAGATTTCGGACCTGAAAGCCCAACCCCCAGCAAAGAAGTTTTTGTCATGTTATGCAAATCTGACAATTAAAATTGTTTAGCTACAATTTAGACAACTAAAGTCAGGTGGGGTGGCGCTGGGTGGAGAAAAAAAGATGGAACCCAAAAGCTGCATGAAAGCCACTCCATAGGAATTCACACAGCATGACCAGTTATGGGATCATGATTCCCATGTCAATCAGCAGCACAAGCAAAATGCTCCAAGCCACCTCCAGAAGCCTACTCTCCCGATGGCGTCCTGGGCTCAATATTTATCTGCACAACCAGGCTGAGAAGACCAAATGATGATTTAACATTTCAGCTTTCATTTTAGGTGCTGGAGTAAATGATGGCAATGCTGGATCCAGCACAATTTTCTAATGAGTGCTGGGCTAGCAGGATAAAAGTCTGCCGGAAGACTGGAAATGGCTTTTTGCCCACTCTTTCAAGCTCAGCCAAGTCTCCACAGCTCCAAGGGTGGAATCCTCATTCTCTCATACTCCCACCTGGACAAATTACCCAATCTTTCTGTACCCTGATTTATTCATCTGTAAGAAGGGATAATAATAGAACTTTCTTCATAGGCATGTTAGGATTAAATGAGTTAATATTTATAAAATGCTAAGAACAGTTCTACTGCCTAATAAGTGCTATATATGTGAGTTAAAATTTAAAAGTGAGCTAACCCTATTAGTTTCCTTCCAAATTCTGGTAGCAGAGAAAAAACCAAGCTATCTCTATAATTATACTTGATTATAAAATTCTCTAGGGTAAACACAGAGTCTAACATGTTTGAAGCCCTGTAAGTACCAATCTAGTAGACAGCTGGGGGTGGAGGTGGATGGTGGTGGTGGGGGGGTGGTGTGTGTGGTTAAGCGCACGCACTTAAATGGGATTATCTGGTGCAGAAGCTTTCAACTAAAGACAAATTCAATCCCCAGGGGGCATTTGCTAATCTGGAAACTTTTTTGGTTGTCACAACTGGGTATGGGGGGTGGGGAGTTGCTACTATCATCTAGTGGGTAGGGAGCAGTGATGCTACTAAATATCTTACAGCGTCTTCTACAACAAAGGAGAGGCTCCTGCAACAAATAACTATTCAGCACAAATGTCAGTAATGCTGAGTTTGAGAAATTCTGATGTAGTGCTTTCCTGAACAAAATTCATTCTATATTCAACCTGCAGTCTTCACAAGTGTGTCAGTAAAATATAAATGAGCCAATTTAGGCTCATTGGTGAATAAAAAGTAGACCAGATAAGAATTTATTTCATATTTAAGTTCATAGAGGATATAAGTGAGGCCTCTCCAATTCCCTGAATGCACCTGCCAAAATTTAGAGTCCAATGTCTGGGGTCACAATGAAATCAGAATATAAGGATACAGAAACCCACACTATAATTGAGCTGACCTTAAAAAATATGGAAGTGGGACCTCCATTTTTATGCAGACTGAGACCTACACACTAGTCACAGCTGTTCACCTTACCCGCTCTAGGTCTTGCCGTAGATGCATAAACATTCTCATGCGAGTGTGAATACTTTCTACTTTTGGCTGCACTAGGCCTTTTTCTTCATCCTCCTTTGGAGGAAATAATGGCTTATTGAAGTTACTTTTCCGTTTCAGTTTCCAGTAGTTATAGATAAAGTCCACAGTTAGTTTGGGCAGCCTGAGCTCTATGGCCACATCCTCCACACTGACCAGGGTATAGAACTCCTCTTCCAGTTCCCGAAGCTTCTGTGCCCGCAGGCTAGTCTTCTCGCTTTTGGCCTGGCTTTGCTCTGCAGACCTGTGTAGGGGGTATTCGGCCTCCCCGAGTTTCTGTCTGCTTTGGCAGTGCTTGAGGCAGAATGACTTAAACTTTACTTCATCCCCCTCATCAAGGATGGTCTTCATCTCTAGGCTGTGCTCAAAGGCACAGGTGACATGGAAGGCAGTGGTGCAGCTTTTCACCGAGCACTGCAGGAAGAAAAGATGCGTTAAGGCAGCAGGTTTGGGGAGAAAGGGAGCAGCTCTATATCCCTGGGCCTAAAATTAGAACTCACAGGAAGCAAAGGAAAGACAGGGAGAAAGTTGGTCCAAAATTGGTCATGACAGAGGCGTTACAAGTACCCCAGGAAATCTGCCATTACAGAAAACAGCAAAAACAGAGGCAAAAAACTGAAAACCAAAAAATTTCAAACTCCTCTTTAAGGTTTCAGCTCAAGCATTAAGTCTGCCTGAGAAGTCTTCTTTGGCCCCTATAAAGAGTCATGCTGTACTTATTCTGTGTCTCCCATATTACCTTATTATACACTTATATAATGGTACTTTTCACACTGTACCTATAGTATAGTAAATGTCAAATCCCTGACCATAGCTCTTAAGGACAGAAGCTGTGTCATTCATTATGCATTACTATCAACTAGTGAACAAGCAGGTACTCAAAGAAATGCTTCTGAACAAATGAAAAAAAAAATAAAAGTCTACTAGTTCTAAAAAGGCCACAGGTGCTCCAATAACTAAGTAACCTAACTTCTTGAAATTGTTCTTGTAGAGCTTTACTGTCCAACATGGTAGCCAACTAGCCAAAAGTAGCTACTTACATTTCAATTAATTAAAATCATACACAATTAAAAATTCAATTCCTTAGTCATGCTAGTCATATTCCAATAATACTGGAAAGTCCAGATTTCCATCACTGCAGAAAGTTCTATTAGACAGTATGGTTAAACACAATCTGAAATTAAGTTTATAATATTTTGCCATTCCCAGATGCAACACATTTGTTAAGTGACACTGTGTAGCACACACTGAGGATTCATAGGGAGACAGCATGGAGAATCTGACCCATGATTGCTGCATTCCTCCGCTTCAGTAGACTGAGAAATTCAACATCTAAGAGATTACTGGCAACCATCAAAGCTTTAATGGCACAGATTCCATTTAAACTAATTTCACAGAATAAAGAGTCCCAGGGATGGAATATAATTCTAAGATCATCTCATCCAGCATCACATTTATTATTGCTTATAGTCTCTTCAGAGTACCTGATTTTCTACCTCACTGCCTCCCCTCCAATCTCCTTCCACTTTTCAATTAAGTGGTAATCAGCCACTTAACTTCATTTCCAAGACAACCCAGCCCAGTGTGGGACAGCTCTGCTGGAAAAGCCTGTTACATTACACTGAAATCTGTTTCCACGTATCTGAAAATGAAATACAAGCCTCACGAAAATGAAATACAAGCCTCACGAAAATGAGGATGATGAAAGCCCAAAATGTACTTTTTTCTGGGTACCTTTTCTCATCACTTGGCTCAGAAACTAGCTAGTCATTTAAAAAACAAGGAAAAGGCATTCTGTAGCAAAATACTAAAAGCACTGGGCATAATGTTCTTTTGCTGTTTAATAACTAATAAAATACAGGAAAAGAGCAAAAGGATTGTTTTTTATTCAAGGGGGTGAATGTGTGACATAAAACTACTATTAATGGGAAGCTAAAAACAGATAATCTCTCTCAGGTCAAATTTATAGACTGTAGAGACATAAATGTAAACTACTCAAAATGAAATATAATACACAAATAATAATTGGGTACTTAAGATTAAGATTAAAAATTGAATGTCTAAGAAACTGCCATAAAATCCATTTAGTTTCACAAAAAAGGCAATTCTATGATATTTATATAGCTGGAGGTCTATATATTTTGGTGGTAAATGAGGAATGACAACCAAGTTTTGATGCCAGTCAAAAACCTATTTAATCCCCCCCCAAAAAAGGTATTTGGTACATCCTATTAAACAAAATGCTTTTGTATACGTCTCATTTCTTTCTACTGAAACTACTTAGAGTGATAGGAGAAATATTATATCCATTAACAAAAAACAGCTTGCCCTGGCTGGTGTGGCTTAGTTGGTTGGAGTGTGATCCTGTAACTGAAAGGCTGTAGGTTCAACTCCTTGTCAGGGTGCATATGATCTCTGGTCTGGGTGTGTACCATCCCGAGTCTGGGTGCGTATGATCCCCAGCCTGGGCACGAACAGGAGGAAACCAATCAACATTTCTTTCTCTCCCTCTCCCTTCTTGTCTCTCTAAAAGAAATGAAAAAATGTCCTTGGCTAAGGGGGAAAAACCCCCCAGCTTTATTGAGATATAATTTACTTATCATAAAACTCACCAATTTTAAGCATACATTTCAATGGTTTGCAGTATGTTTACAGACTTGTACAACCACTACCACTATGTAATTCCAGTATTTTCAATACCCCCCCCCAAAAAATAAATCTTGTGCCTGAATGCAGTCACTCCCTGTTTCTAGCCCCAGCCATGCGTAACCGCTTATCTACTTTGAGTCTTCATAGGTAAGTCTCTTTTGGGAATTTCTTTCTTTCCCCCTTTCTCTCTCTCTCTCTCTCTCTCTCTCTCTCTCTCTCTCTCTCTCTTATTTTTAGAGAGAGCGAAGGGAGGGAGAGAAACATCAATGTGCGGTTGCTTCGCACGCGCCCCCCACTGGAGACCCAACTGGCAACCTGGGCATGCGCCTTGACTGGGAACTGAACCGGTGACCCTTTGATTCACAGGCCAGTACTCTATCCACTGAGCCACACCAGCCAGGGCTCTTCTGGCAATTTCTTATAAGCAGAATCATACAATATGTAGCTGTTTGTATCTGGCTTCTTTCACTTAGCATGTTTTCAAGGTTCATTCATGTTGTAACATGTATCGTAGTTTCATTCTTTTAAAACTATGACCAAATAATATTCTATTGTAGGGATATACCACATTTATCTATTAATTCATCAGTTGATGGTCATTTGGGTTGTTTTTACTTTTTGGCTATCTTGAAATAATGTTGTTATTAACATTTGTGCACAAGTTTTTGTGTGGGCATACTTATTCATTTTCCTTTGGTAATGTGCAGTGAAGAATTAACCTTGCCCAAAGAAATATTTGATATTTTGCCCCTACCTCCTGAGAGGTAATGTCTAAACCCTTGGAGTGTCCTGCCTAAGTGTGTCTTTGTTTACCTAGGGGCTTTGAGCCATGTCAGATAGTGTAAGCTAACGATGTGATTTATGGTGGAGGCACTGGGGCCATGTGATATCAGCCTGATCTCTGGAGGGAACATGTGGGTGGTAAACCATGTCTACTTGACCAACTCCTAATCTCTGAACATCAAGAGTGAGCTTCCCTGGTTGCCAATACTCTGTGTGTATTACCATACATCACTGCTAGGAGAAATAAGCACTGTCCACAAGATTCTACTTGGAAAGAGCAACTACAAGGTCCATGCTTAGTCTCTCCTGGACCCTGCCCTATATACCTCTTCCTTTTGATTTTAATGTGTATCCTTTCACTCTAACAGACTGTAACCATGAGTGTAATGCCTTTTCTTAGTTCTAGTGAATTACTGAACCTGAGGATAGTCTTGGGGCCTTGAACTGCAGGTATATTCTTATCAGTAGAACTGCTGGGCCATAGGGTAACTCTACATCTAACCTTTTAAGGAACTTCCAGACTCTTCCACAGTGGCTGCACATTTCACATTCTTTTTTTTAAAAAACATTTTATTTATTTTTAGAGAGAGGGCAATGGAGGAAGAAATGGAGAGAAACATCAATCAGTTGCCTCTTGCATGTGCCCCGACCGGGGACTGAACACACAACTCCGGCATGTGCCCTAACTGAGAATTAAACTGGTGACCTTTCACCTTGCAGAACAACAAACTAAGCCACACCAGTCAGGACACATTTTATATTCTTTTCAACAATGCATGAGGGTCCTAATTCTCCACATTCTTGCCAATAATTGTTATTGTTTGATTTCTTGAGTATCACCACCCTAGTGAGTATGAAGTGGTACCTCATTGTGGTTCATTTACTTTTAAAGGGGGTAATGGAATACTTTTCTACATAGTCCTCAGAAATTAAAGATGGGAAACAACTTTTTAAAATACTTTCATTAGAGGGAAATGTGAGGGGAATTTCTGTGAGATGAGAATTGGATCAGACAGGTTGGAATAAAAATCTTGAAAAAGGACACCAGAGACTGATTTAGGAATTAAGGTGCTTCTTGTCTTTTTAAAGAAGTATTTTGTCACCCCCCCCCGCAAAAAAAAAAAGAAAATAATGTGTTTTCCTCAAAAACAGATGATACCTGCCTGGAAAACCAAGGGCCTGGTGCATATATCCTCAGATGTTTTTGTCCTTAATCCCCAATAATCCATGAATAGACAAGTGGGTATATCAGAGCAATTTTCTCAAAACTTGGTCACTGAAACAATGTTATGAATGGCTCAAGCCACCCTATAAAACCTACTCCAGCCATTGTTTACTTAACCACTAGCACCAACAATAGTCACCAGTGCTTCTGATCTTTCATCCTTAAGGGTTTTTGAGGTCTGAGGTGAGATGTCACTTCACTGCTGTTTAACTTTTCCCATGTTTGTATCTGGCCTTCCTTAACAAACCATAAACTTCTGAAGGCAGGGACTAAGAAATGCCTTAGGACAAAAACAATTTACATTGACAAAATTTGGAAAAATATATAAATATATGTATTTAAATATATAATCAAAGTGCTTTTCTTCTTGGTTTTATTTTGGGTACTCTTTTTTTAATTGTTCAATTACAGTTGACCCCTTCCCCTCACTACTCTTCCCTGTTCTGCCCATCCCCCACCCCACCCCCACAGTCAATCCCCACTCCATTGTTCATGCCCCTGGGTCCGTTATACATATTCTTTGACTTGAATTTTCCCCTTCTTTCCCCCTATCCCTCTCCTCCCTCCCCTCTGGTCACTGTTAGTTTGTTCTTTAGTTCCATGTCTCTGGTTATATTGTGCTCACTTGTCTGTTTTGTTGATTAGGTTCCACTTATAGGTGAGATTATATGGTATTTGTCTTTCAACTGCCTGGCTTATTTCACTTAGCATAATACTCTCTCCAGTTCCATCCATGCTGTCACAAAGGGTAGGAGTT